TTGCACACTTTTTCTTCGGTGAATCAGTGGTAAGTTTCCGGGTTTACAATACTAAAATTCTGGATTCGTTTATTTGTGGTGGACAGAGTACGAATAGTGCATTGCGTAAAAACAACTTTATGCGCTTATTACATGCATAAAACACTTATAAATAATCAAGCACATCAATAATGTCAAAACACATAACACTTGAACGACTTAAATTTTCTTGTATTTTCATAACATCATTTCATTTTGTATATCATAGCCCTAAACTTTCTCTGTACTTTTGATACCATAGCAATTTAACATCTTCTTCTTAATATATTAAGTGGCTTTTACTTAAAGCATTTTCCAATTTTTTCTTTATATCAACTTATTCTACACCGGATAACGGTCTAAATTCAGAACATATCAGCAAAGACATTGAATAGAGCTGCTACAAGTCTGATAGCTGGATATGAGAGTAGAAATATTGTCAGTGCTATGCTGCTACAAGTCTGATAGCTAGATTTGAGAGTAGAAATATTGTCAGTGCTATGCTTCTAGAAGTCTGATAGCTAGGTTTGAGAGCAGAAATTTGTTAATGCTGTGTGGGAGTTATCATCAACTTCACGAAGCTTCCACATGGATAAGATTCTGTTTCTTGATTTCAATATTTGCCTGTTTAATTTCAAACGTATGATGCAGTGATAGTTAACACTCACTTGGAGAAAACGTTAACCAACTGTTTTATGCATTGATCATTTTAAACGATTAAGCTATATTCACATAAATAATATACGTTGTTATTTTGACAAACAGTAGTGTGAAAAACGAGTACAAACCAACTTATATCTAAAGTATTACTTTGTGAAAACGTTGTTGTTCTTGAGGGCTACAACCGAAAAATCGTAAAAAGCCTCAACTTATATATAGATTAACGCAGTTTAAAGGTTTGATATTAATTTGATTGTATACATGACGTTCAAATTGGCCATTACTACTGGAAACGTCGACAGTCAAGCCGTTCACCGCTACTGATGTCATGGTAAGAAAAAACACTAGTATTAACGTCGTTTGAGGGCAATCATGAAATATTGGGAACTTTTAAGGTAAAATATATGGAAAACATCCAATAAGAATTGTAAAATTTTATTATCTAAAAACGTTTAGAAACGTAGTCTATGTTCCTAATTTTAATACTTAATGTGCAGATGCACATATTATATATATATATATATATATACTTAAAACTTAATGTATCGTACTTCCATTTGAGTATATGCAAAAATAATTACTCCAACCCGTGTAATATATTTTACGGACTTTTTTTAATGTTAGTGCGCCAATTTAGTTTTGAAATTTCTACTTATAGTCTGGTTGAATTTTCCAGACATGACGGTGAAACCAAGATTATGTAGATTGTTGAGAGTAGAAGATGCCAATATGGCTAAAATGTTTCTTTTATATGTGCAGATGCGATAAATACGTGTTTGCATCTTTGTTTGTAAATTTATCGTAATATTGTAGCGA